CTCTCTCTCTCTCTGTCTAAAATAATTCTTTAAAAAAAAAAAAAACAAACACACTGAGAGTACTTTCTCTGCGGGCATGGGAGTATGTGTGTGTGGGCCCCACAAGCGGATGGCCGGGTGTGGATGGTGGTGGACGTAAGTGGCACAAGAGTTGTAAATAACTTATATTTTAAACAGATGAAATTAAGGGATCTAAAATCAGGTTTATCAGACAATGAAAAATAATTAGAGTGTGAGGAAACATTGCCGCACGTGCTATTTTGAGGTACAGTGTGTGGAAGGCAGTGAGATGGGGCTCAAGTGGCAGGGAGCCAGAGTGGCTGGCACTGCGGCCTCCCAGTGGGAAGGCCCCAGCTGAGGCTGCTGCCCACGCTGCCACATGGGATTGTTGTCACCTGGGCTGGGATGCACGCAGCACCATAGGCATCCTGTTAGTAAGAATGGTTGGGGCTGGGCCAGGGAGTGGCATGGTTGTTGAGACACTGGACTCCCCCACGACTGACCACAGTTCAAGTCCTGGACCTAGTGGCTTGCTTTCTCAATCCCCTCCTCCCTTTCTGGTAAGTGCGTGTGCCCTATAACGAATTAAAAAATAATATTAAAGATAAATGTAATTAAATGAATAATTCCTTTTAAAGAAAAAGAGAGTGACTGGGCAGCTCTGTAGTGCAGCAGTAACTCACCACTCAGGCGAGTCTGGATGAAATAGAAGATCACAGGTTCAATTCCCATTGACCTGCACATGTCAGGCAGGCCTAAAGGACCACAGTATGAGACCCATTGAGGGTGCGTGTCTTCCCCCCTCTCTCTCTCAAGAAATGAAGTTAAATAAAGAAGGGAAAAAGGAGTTCTTACATTCTCTGAGTTCTTCCGTAGTAGCTGTTCTTCTCCCAAGAAGGGTTGAGGGTGTTCCCACCCATGTCTTCTCCTGTGTGGATTTAGATGTTAAGAAGTGAATGATTCCTTCTTTATTTGGGGGGAGCGGGGGTTGGGGAGATTTTTGCTATAGAATGTGTGCTTGCCAGAGACACAAAGAGAAATAGAGAGACGGAAAGTGAGAAATCATCCCTCGGGGGGATGGCCGCTCCACAGTCCCTTCTCCTCCATCCTTCTTCTGGGATCCTGGGCACACACTCACTCACACGTGCCTGTTGTGAGTTTCAAGCCACCAGGTCTGCGACTCAGACCACAGTTGGCCACATGGAAGTCCAGCGACGTAACCGCTCTGTCATCTGCTGGTCTCAGGAAGAGAATGATTCTTATTCTGATGCTGAGAAAGAAAGTGACTCAGTTGAAAAAGCATTACCACTCCCCCCACCCCACCCACACACACTCGCATGTGCACGCCGAGCTGGGAGCAGCCTTCCTGTGTTGCTGCTGTGTGGAGAAGCGTGCGCTGGCACTGAACAGCAGACATGCATCAGGGCGCAGCCCCCACCCTGCAGGCCTAAAGGGGTCTTCAAAAAGTTTATGGAAAATGTGTATTATGAAAAACTATGCATGGCTTTTGAGACTGCACTAATATAAACTCATGCTTTAAATCTATTTCCTATGAATGTTTTGGAGTTGTGTTTCACTTCGACGAGATGCCCTCTGCCCCCAAGTGCCATCCTCCCAGGCCTGGCTTGACCTCGGAGGCCCCTGGCCCTGGTGGTTCATGCAGGCCTAGAGGAGAGGAGCGTGTTCCTCGCTGGGTACTGACTGCTTGACAGAACTAACTTTGAAGGGAGCCGCTTAACGTTTTCAAAGATGTCCTTTCAGCTTCCTAAGAAAGAAGCCTTCTTTCTCCCAGAAACAGCAGGCAGGCCTCTGATCTTCTCAGCACAAGCTCAGAGAAACCCTCCCAGCCACCCAGGCCGAGTGCAGTGAGCAGTATGCCCCACAGCCGAGGACTTGAGAAGGTTCTGAAGAAACTGAGTCCTTGTGATGCTGCGAGGTCCTCCCTGCCTGGGCACTGAACCTGTGACCCTTTGGGTGGGCCTGGCGGACTGCCCTGAATTATGCAGTGCCAGACTCCTCTCTGCAACACCTCCAGGAGATCCAAACCTTCAGCATGATCAAAGAGGCTGTAAACCGAGGCTGAAGGATGAGAACAGAGGGAGGGCGAGGCAGAGCTGTGAAGATGCGTGGGTCCCAGGCAAGCGAAGGAGAGGCAGTGGACGGAGCTGGACGGAGAAGTGGTTCGTGAGACACCTTAAAAACTGTCACTCACAGAGGCAGATGACCCGGCCCCCTGCTCTCAGCCCCCAGCCCCCAGCCCCCGGGTTTATTTTCATAAAAACACTGGGAGATGCATTCTCAGCTAAGGGAAACTAAGAGAAAAAGACACACAATAGAAAACACGGTATGAATTAAAATAAAAGCTTATCTGGTGGTTCATCGAATTTTAGTGGTGGCATTTTTTTCTGACTGTAGAGAAAACACTGGAATAGCAGCAATACTGGAAAGAAATGAGTGTTCGGTGTCAGGGAAGTCATTTACTCATTAGAAAGGTAAGTTCTGCCGTGTGGGCCTGGGAGGCCTGTCCGCCTGTCCTGAGAGCTGAATGAGGTGCGGGTTCCCATCTTCAGCCCCGCCACAGACAGACCGTGGAGCGTCAGGGAGA